ATGCCCGAGTTTCCTCATTTTGCTATACTTTTGTCAAAAAAGGAACGAGGTATAACATGTAAGAATATTCAGTGACTAACTCAGGGATAGTCTAGGTAAGTATATTTTAAAATTTAATTCAACAGTGACAATTTTATGAGTAAATCAATACAATTTTAATGTTCCTGAAGTAACAAAGTTGAATAGATTAAGCTCAGCTCATGTCTATTATCTATTTACCTGTGTTACTTAAAATAATGCTTCTTGATATAACAGATAAACCCCAGGATCTAATGATGTAAAAGGTTTACTTCTCAATTGTGCAAAATTTGGATGAATATTACTAATCAGCAGTTTGTGTTACTCTAGGCAATGATTCACAGACTCAGTCTTCTGTTTTTTTGTCCTTGATATCTCCATGGACCTTGGAGTCCTCTGTTGCATCCTACTTATCTAGCTTGGTGATGGGGGGACGAGTAAGGCTGTTATGTGAAAGGCTTTTATGAGTCAGTCCTCTGCCTACATCACTTCTAGCCACATTCAGGTGGTCAGAACCCAGTTATTGACACCTGAGTGTAAGAGAGCCTGAATAAAAATTTAGCCGTGTGCACAGGAGGAAAAGGAAGGCAGATTTAATGAATAATTGTTAAAATCCATCACTGCCACAACCTATTAAGTACTACATAATACGCAAGGTGCTAGGGGTATAGGTCCTTGTACTTGATAATCTTATACATACACTACACAGAATAGAAAAATAAATAATACACAAGTCTTTCTTTAACCTTTTTCAATCTTTTAAATACCACTCAGGTATTTAAAAACTTCACCTGAGACTTTTCAGTTTCTGGTCTAGTATATGAGTAGCTCAGAAGTTGCCACTCCATCTTAACAAATCAAAAGCTGAACAATCTGAAATACCACCAATTCTTCTTAGATCCATCAGAGAAGTGAGATCACAGGGTAAACCACTGCTCCCCAAATTGGAGACAGGTGTATACAGAGAATCACAACTTAACACAGCAGAAACCCATGAGCAGAAACCTCCTAGGAAATCAGTGTCAGGGTAGGAAAACCTAAATTGTAATTAATGAATTTCTGAAGGCTCAGTGTTGACAAGCCTGAGCAAGCAAACTTATTACTTGTCTTCGCTCCCTTGTGCACTAGTCCCAGTAAAGCCTCACCTGAATTTCATATCTGACCTCTTATAATTCCTATTGATTAAGGAGGCCAAGAACCCTGGTCAGTAACATTACAGTACAATCCAACAATTGTGCTCATTAGCATTTACCTAAAGGAGCTGAAAACTTATGTCCACACAAAAACCTGAATAAGGATATCTATAGCAGTTTTATTCATAATTACCCAAACTTGGAAGCAGCCAAAACGTTCTTAAATAGGTAAATGGATAAACTGTGGTACATCCACACAAGGGAATATGATTCAGTGCTAAAAAGAAAAGAGCTATCAAGCCATGAAAAGAAATGAAGGAAACTTAAATGCATATTACGAAGTGAAAGAAGCTAGTCTCAAAAGGCTACATACTGTGATTCCACCTATATAACACTGGAAAAGGCAAAACTATGGAGACAGTAAAAAGTTCAGTGGTTGCCAGAGGCTGGGGGAAGGGAGAGTTGAATAGGCATAGAAAATATTTAGGGCAGTGATACTATTCTGTATATGATGGATACAAGTCACACTTTTGTCAAAGTACACAGAATGTACACCACCAAGCGTGAATCCTAACGTAAACTATGGACTTTGGGTGATAATGTGTCAATGTAGGTTCATCAAATATAATAAACGTACCACTGTGGCGTTGGGGAAGTTTGTACGTGTGTGGGGACAGAGTACGGGAACTCTGTACTTTCAGCACAATTTTTCCATGAACCTACAACTGCTCTAAAAAAAAATTAAGTTAATTAATTAAGAACAGCAAAAAACTTCACCTGACTCTGGAGAACTATTGCCTGTATACCTAACCTGTCTCAAAGCCTTCTTGAGATTTAAAAGATTCTTTTTTTGAAAAAAAAATCTTTCAGTAAAAAGACATATAATAGTAGATTTGGAAAAGGCTGCTTATTTGACATTAAAAAACCATGAGCAATGAACGAAACATTAGTGAAAAGGAACTAAATTTACCTTGACTGCTTACAGAACAGGGCACAGAACTGTTGAAAACCACTACTTTTTGATTCTTAAAACCAAACAAAAAAATAAGTGCCCAAATAATTTTTCCAAGGCATAATTTGGTAATTTTTTTGTTGACTCCAAGAGAAAATTTAGTATTCCATGGTTAGTTATTATTTTGTTTATACATTATAATAAAAAATCTATTTTAAATATCTGGCTAATTTATCTTAACTCCTTGGTCTTACTTATTAAATTGCCACACAAATAAGACTAAGCCCTTTTTCTTTCCCTAGAAAAATAACAAGATTTGGAGCTCCTGCTCTAGACCACCTAGAACTTTCTTACAATTAGAGGAAGCATTCATATTATAACCTCTGAGTCATGGCTTCAACCCGTTCACTTTTCAAGTGAAGCACATAACTAAGAAATTACTTGGATAATTTACTTAGGTGACTTTGCAGATTTTAATAAGACTCAAATTATTTGGGTTACTCATAAAAGCTTTCCCTGAGAGGACAGTTGCTCTGAGTTAGCAGTTAGCCGCTTCTCTTTCTTTTCCTTCCTTCCTCTTTCTTGAACACCTCCCCCTCCTCTTCCTTTTTGAAACTTAGTTCATTGTTTTCATTAGCACAACAGATCTAAACACCTTGGCATCCTCACTTATGCTTCTTTCCTACCGCAGTTTTTAAAATACTTTCAAGAAATCATAATCTTAATTCTAGCAAAGAGTTTTAGGAATTTACTTATGAACTTTAAATGCATCAACCAAGGTGGGTATTTTAATAACTTTATAAGGAAAGTCTATTTTCAAAATGCAATGGTAGGTGTTTTCTTCAGAGGTTACCCAAAATAGGAAATACAGATTAAGAAAAAAAAAAAAGGCAGCATGTCCCATGATATCCCTTTAAGCCAAGTGTATGTTTCCGAGTTTCTTGACTTTGGTTAGCTTGCAAGATAAAAGAAGGAAAGGTAATTTTAAAAAATATATTCATTTAAGCTTAATAAAATCAACACTGACTCCTAAAAAACTCTGAATTCATTCTCTATCACCTGTCCTCCTCCCGCCTCCCATTTTGTCTTTAAGGGTCTTTTATCTTCTTCTTTCTGTTATTCCCACTGTTTTTCTGAAGTCTCATATATCAGACCAATGGATAGCCACAATCTTCTCTTTATTCCTTCCTCGCTCCACAAAAGCCTGTTTAGCCATATTTAACCACTCCTTCGTCAAAGTAAAAGAACGCAAGAACCTGTCTACACGTTTGGTCAAAACGCATTCCCCGACATCACATATCCTAATCCCTGCAATTTCTCCTTTCCAGCAAATGAACCTCTTGATTTAAATTAAAATCCCTTCTCCTACCTGCAGCCTTATTGCTATTGCTCTGCCAGTGAACCCAAGTTCTTCCCAGGCCATTTCCTAAGAAAAATAATAACCACCTGTTTTTCAGGGTTTTAATCGCTAGCACCCGCTTTCTTTCCCTAATCCGCCCTGCGTGCTTCCCTACCCGGATTCCACCTCCACCATCCACAGCCACTCTTCCCGGAGCGCCACTTCCGGATCTCCGGTGTTTCCACTTTACGGGTCCGCCCACCTCCCCCGCGCACTTCCTAGAGCTTTGTCCTAACCACTGGCGGGGTGGGAGCGGAGACCCGGGCTCGCCGAGCGCAAGAGGTGTCCTAGAAGACGCACTGCGAGACTGCTCCAGCCTGAGAACTCCGGTCCTGCTGCGGAGTCGAGTGGTGGCGGAGGACGGACGGTTTGTTTCGAGAACCGAGCGGGGCACACCCGGAAGTGGCGCCGTACGGGAGCTGCGCCGCCGCCGTGGGCGGGTGCCAGGTACCGAGAGGAGGAGGAGACGCCACGGTACTCTCTGGCGTGAGTGTCAGCCGACGGTGCAATAACGCGGGGGGCGGAAGCCGGTCTGCCTTTGGCTCTGGTTCAACGGTGGAAGATCCCGCCAGGTTCCGGGAGGCGAGGGCCTCGTGGGGCGGCTGGGCTGGCGTAGGGGTGCGGCGGCCAAAGGCAAGCCTGCTTCACTTCATTTTCCCACTCCAGGGGTCCCGCTTTCTGCAGGTCACCACCTTTTTCTCCCACTCCTCGCCAGGGGAGTTGTACTAGTGAGGAAGTCGGGACTGGAGCAGAGAGTCAACTTGAATTTTCTCGGTTTCTGTAAGGAGGCGAGCGGCCGCTTTGGTGGGGATTTGCTTTTCGGCCTCTTCAACCCTTTCTGAGAAGTGCTTTTTCCTTCTGCACTACCGATTCAGTTACCTCTAATGTTTCTGTCTTTACTCTCTTCAGCATCTGACTTTGACTCCCCTGTACCTTAAAGGATGCTGGAGTCATACGTGACTCCAATTTTAATGAGCTATGTGAATCGCTACATCAAGAACTTAAAGCCATCAGACCTACAGCTTTCACTATGGGGTGGAGACGTGGTTCTCAGCAAGCTCGAGTTAAAGTTGGATGTGCTGGAGCAGGTAAGTGGTGTATCTGTCATTGATTGGAAATATTTTCAGCTGTTTAGAAGTAATCTTGTTTCCTAGAGTTTGACTTTATGCTTTGAAGACTTAGTTTTTCTGCTAATGTATTTTGGGCTACCCTGAAACTAGAGACCTTCCTTTACAGAATATTTTTAAAATGGTTTGTTACTAGTGATAGATTGTTAGAATCCCAAAAGTTGTCTCACCAGATGGGGAAACAATTTCCTTGTTCTTGTTGTCAGAATTGTTCACTGTTTACTCAGTTCCCTAGCATTACCGAATGTGGTGATTTACATTGCTAGAATTAGGAATATGACGCCAGATATTATATTCCTTTTTTCCTTTTTGGGGAATGGAAGGGTTGGAAAGACAGTAAGGTCAGATCTTGAGGAAAGTTCTGTTTCTTGGTAGGAAAGATGACACTACCCATGGCATCCTCAGAATACTGAGTAGACAGATGCAGATTGAGAATGACAGCATAATTGAAAACTTCTTTCTTACTCACTTTTCAAGTTTCTTTTTTTTTAATGTGAGAATGATCTGATGCAAATGAACTGTAAATTCAAAGCTCATATACTTATTAATTCGTTTAGTACATTTATTATTAGCATATGCGAGGCATCTGTTAGGCTTGAGGATACAAAAATTATCTCTAGAAACTCAGAAGAGTCAGAAACCAATTGGTTTTTAGGAGACAAGTGAAGACAATCTTATGATGATGTTATCAATAACTTTTAGTTATATTCTGCTACTTTATTATTGAGTAATCTAGAGTTAACACTGAGAAATGATGTTCTTGGTTCCTTTCCCTTCCTGTCTCCAAGGCTGATTATCTTAACAATGTTGTTGTATGAACGGTTGTTTATTCTTTGTATTGCCTTGTAGTATTCCATTGTATAAAGATCCACATTTACATATGTATTTTCCTATTGATGTACATTTGGATTGTTTCTACTTTTGGCTATTATGAAGAAACCTCTTATAACATTCTTGTATTTGGACATAGGTATTGATTTCCCTAAGTTACATACCTAGGTAGGCATATATTTAACTGCCAAATAGTTTTCTGGTGTGGTTGTACCAATTAACATTCTCATCAACAGTGTATGAGAGCTCCAGTTACTTCAGGTTTTTGCTGTTACCTGATAAGTTTGTTATTTTTAGCCTTTTTGGCAGTTGTGTAGTGGTACCTCATTGTAATTTAAAATTGTATTTCCCTAATGACTAATGATGTTGAGCACTTTTTCATGTTCTTCTTATTAGCTATTTGGATATCCTCTTTTGTAAAGTCTCTAATTCTTTTCCCTTTTTAAAAAAAATTGAAATTGGTTTTTCTTTTAGCCTTTTTTCTTACTGATTTGTAGGAGTTCTTAATATATTTTGGAAATGAGTCCTCTGCTAGATTTTATAGTATTTATAAAATTTATAGTATTCTTTGTAGTATTTATAAAAGTATTTTATAAAATTTATTTATAGTATTTATAAAAGTATAGTATTTTTCCCAATCTATGGCTTGTGTTTTTACTCTTAGAAGTGTCTTTTGATGAGCAGAAGTTTATAATTTTATTGAGGTCCAGTTTATCAATCTTTTCCTTTTATGGTTTACTTTTCATGTCTTGTTTAAGAAATCTTTGCTTATTCCAATAACATTATTTTCCTATATTTTCTTTTAGCAGCTTTATTGTATTTGTGAGTCATATGAAATTAATTTTTCTGCATATGTAAAGTAAAGGTCAAGATTCTTTTTTCCCCATTAATCCACTCAACTGATCCACACCACTTTTTGAAATTCTTTCGCTACTGAATTTGCAATAAGTCTTCGCTATAAGTCAGGTTGTCATATGTGTGTGAATTTGTTTTGAACTCTTTTATCTGTTCAGTGGACTGTCCATTCTTGTGTCACTATCATACTATCTTTTACAGTAAGTCTTGATATCTCATAGTATAATTTGTACAGTTTTGTTCTTTTTTACTTCAGGACTGTCGTAGCTATTGTAAATCCTTTGCATTTTCATATATATTTTAATTTCATAAATTTTTGTATTTCCCCCCCAAAAAGGGAAACCCATTTTGAATTTCCCCCCAAAAAAGGGAAACCCATTGATGTTTTTATTGAGATTACATTGAATCAATAGATTAACTTGGGAGGAATTAACATTAGCATAAATTGTGCTGACTGACATACTATTGTGTTTTTCAGTTTGTGTTCAGGACATTGCTTTCTGTGTTTTTAGGTCTTTACTTTTTCTTAGCAATGAAGTTTTCAGAGAGATTTTACATGTTTCATCAAATTTTCTCTCTGTTTTTTGATGCTATGAGCAAGATTATTTATTTTTTGAAAATTTCATTTTCTAATTACTTGTTACCAGTACATAGAAATACAGCTGATTTTTAATATATTGACTTTTCCATTGGCCTTTCAGATTTGTCCAATACTTTTTGGTGGATTCTTTTGGATTGTCTGTACACAATCATGTCATCTGCAAATAATGACAGTTTTACATTTTTCTTTCCAGTGATTAAACCTTTTATTTTTCTTTCATTATTGTACTGTGGAGTAGAGATCGTGAAAATACATTCTTTGTTCCCAACTTCAGTGGGACATTTAGTATTTTACCAGTAAGTGCATTGTGAGGTGTAAATACTCTTTATTGGGTTGAGGGAATGTGCTGCTTTTTTTTTTTAATTTTTATTTATTTATTTTTTTTGTGGGTGGGGGAAGGTAATTAGGTTTATTTATTTTTTAGAGAAGGTACCTGGGGAACGAACCCAGGATCTTGTGCATGCTAAGCATGCCCTCTGCCACTTGAGCTATGCCTTCCCCTCTGAGGGAATGTGCTTCTATTCCTGGTTTTCCAACAAGTTTTTAAAACCATGAATAGGTGTTGAATTTTATCAAGTATTATATTTAATGAATTGATAGGGTATTTTGTTAATGTGAATTTCATTGAGTTTTCAGATGGAATTTGCATTCCTGGAATAACCCCTACGTATTATGTATTATCCTTTTTATATATGGTTGGATTCCATTTGTTAAGTTTTTGGTTAGTTTTCTTTCATCTATGTTTACATGTGTTACTGGTTTGTAATTTTCTTTTCTTGTAATGTCCTTATCAGATTTTGATTATGATAGATTTGTTGGCCTTGGCCTCACTAAATTATTTGAACTATTTTCTCTTTTCATAATTCCTGGAAAAGTTTGAGTAAGATTGGTATTATTAGGGAGTTTTTTGTGTGTAGTGAAATATATGTATCATGAAACTTACCATTTTAGTCATTTTTCATGGTATTTATTTTTTATATTTACCCTCTATTTGGAAATTAATAAAAGCTTTCCCTTTTATTTCTTTTTTTTCTTTTTTTAAAACCTTTTTTGTTGATTCATAATCATTTTACAATGTTGTGTCAAATTCCAATGTAGAGCACAATTTTTCAATTATACATGAACATATATATATATTCATTGTCACATTCCTTTCTCTGTGAGCTACCATAAGATCTTGTATATATTTCCCTGTGCTATACAATATAATCTTGTTTATCTGTTCTACACTTTTGAAATCCCAGTCTATGTCTTCCCATCCCCCACCCCCTTGGCAACCACAAGTCTGTATTCTATGTCTATGAGTCTATTTCTGTTTTGTATTTATGCTTTGTGG